ATTTCGCTGACCCTTATCACCGTCCAAAGTTCATGGCATGGTCACAGTTATCCGGTAGTGTTTTAATTTTTATTTTTTTCTATAAATCAGAATGATCTGAAATTTAAACGCGTGTGTATATCTTAGTGAGGTGCACCTAATAAAAATATTAAAAAAAATAATTCTTAAAAATAAATTGACCAAAATACCCCTGAAACATTTCGAGGGTACTTTAATCAATTTATTTCATGTAAAATATTTTTTTGATATTTTTTGTAGATTCTCCTATTTTTTATGATCACACGCTCTAAACTTCAAATCATTCTAATTTGTAAAAAAAAAATGAAATACTACCAAAAAATCATGATCGTACGATGAACTTTGGATGGTGATGAAGGTAGGCGAAATCATTGTTCATTTTTTTCTTATAGGTATTTTGTAGTATCTTCTCTCATATATATATATATAATGATTCAATGCAATATATATATTCACTATTGACATGAGTCAAAATAAGTTAATAAATGAGATAACATAGGAAAATTACTTGTATAAAACATTTCCGTGATCAATGGACGGTCAAAAAGCACTTAAACAACAACAATTTAAATAAAATGTATATAAAAAAAAACAGATTTTGTGCTTCAATGGGAATAAAAAGTTTTAGTACTTTAGTTGTGAACTTCTAGTCAAAATGAACGAAGGATAAGACATTTGCAACGAACACACCAGTGCCTAGAAAGCCTAAAAGTCCTCTTAGTGCTTCACATGCTTTGTGACCATATTGGGGCTTCTGCATATTGTCATGTTGCCGACTGATATTGAGTCTTTTGAAAGGAAAAATAAAAATAAAAATCTCTAATATAATATAAGAAAAATAAAAATCTCTAATATAATATAAGAAAAATAAAAATCTCTAATATAATATAAGAATAAAAATCTCTAATATAATATAAGAAGTGATATTGTACTAAAATGTGTCATAAAACTTTGCTTTTCAGCCCGGTTTGTGTGAGGAGTAAAATAAAACTTTGATAAAAAACAATACCATTAACTTGTTCAAACAACTGCTTGGACTGTGTAAATTTTGCTTGTCGGTTCCAATCAAATATGTTAGGCACTTATGCGACATTTGCCCCAAAATAAAAGTGGAAAGGAGAGTGGTCCTTCTCGTAGGAGAGAGAGAGAGAGAGAGGAGATTTTGTCGAATATTTGGATCCATAGTTACTGGAGTGGGAACGACTCCAGTTCCGGGAGCATCGGATCGACGGCTACCCAAAGCTCCGGAGCTCGGAGAGTGAGTTCCAGTGAGGGTAAAAGTAGTGGATCGAGATCTTATATGAACAAGGAGCGCATTCTCAATACATCGGGATGTAGATCCTTATTTAATAGGTCGGCATTCCATGTCAAATGGGATTGTGGACCTATATTTATTAGGATCGCACTCCCATCAACAATAGGATCGTACCCCCAGTTAAGAATGATTGTGTCTCTGATTGGAAAAGATCGAGCTTCGTTCAAGGAAGGATCACGTTCTGTCCATGATTTGTCCACGCTCCCATTGTAAAACTCCACTATTAAATTTGGCTTATAATATAATTAGTTTATTTTAAAAGTTAATTTTATTTAAAAAGTTTCCTTTACGAAGTTCCGTGAACATAGGGATGGAATTGCAAGAACGTAAGGATCGTTCTCCTAAAATTCCGAGAGCAAGGATCTAATTATTCAAGAACGAGATCTACAATTTTAAGGAATGTGTTTCGTGCAACAGTAAGATCGAGATCCTTTGTGCATGGGATCAATAATCCTATAAATCGGAGCCAACTCTTGAAAAATTTAAAACGAGTTATAGTTGAGATCCCAGTCATGGAACGCCAGCTAGGTTCCGGAGCGGGAGCGCCACCTTAATTGGGTGCTCTCAGGAACTATGTTTGGAACCTCAGCTTATTTGATTATGAAGTTTGTATTTGGGAGTATGGGCTTGCGCGAAAGATAAGCAGTTGATGTTGTCACCACTGTATCTAAAGTTCAATTCCTATCTTTGAACCAGTAAAGTAAACGGACGTTTGGACCCTTGACCAAATAATGCTTACCAATATTAATGGCCTGGAACCTTGTCCAAGCTTTGGATCCCAACTAAAAAACCAGATCCCCTCTTCCCCATCCCCATACAAAATAATAAAACTTTGGCCCACCCGAACAGATCTAGAAAGAAAAGATTATCATCCACTAGGAATTAAAACATAGAAATGATATAACACAATGGGCGTCCCAATAAGGTAGTAATTGTGATGTCGTACCTAAAAGATAAAGGGAAAAGTTTATTTAAAGTTTGAATCAAAGATGCACCTCAAAAATCCATGGAAAAAGGTTGTTTCAATGTTGAAAAACCCTTTAATTGATCATCTCGGCATCGAGATGTATATATATGAAAAAATAAAACAGATTTTGACTGTCAGAAATAGTGCATCTTGCAACACATTATTTAGACCATCCATTTTCAAGATTTTCAAATGTTTATAGATCTACTTGATTTTAAGTATTTTTGGAGTTTAAAGTTTTATAATTAAACATGAAAATAGATTTTGAGATAATACTAGGACTTTTACACCAAAATTTTATGTTATGATAAAATTTGGTAATGTGCCTTAATTGGATAGTTTAAACTTACAACCTTATAAAAACCACACCCAAAGATAAATGGTCTTTACAATCCAGACATGCATACATAGACATATATAAAAAAAATAAACATAAGCAATCTCACCTGCTTCTTGTAGGTGGTTTGTAAGAAGCCCAACCGTAGCCATAATACCCAAAAACCAAAGCCAATAGTTGCTTGAAGAAACCATAGTGAAATATTTTAAAATTGTTATTGGTAAGTCCCAATATGTTATGGGTAGGCATACACATGCTACATTTATATAGTGTGGAGGCGGCTTAGTGGTACAAAAACTTGTTTGGAAGGACTTCACAATTTCCAAATCTAGTCAAGTCAAATCCTAAATTTATGTCTCTTGGATTGTTCCACCCAATTCCTTGTTCATTATTCAAATTGGACATTTATTTCTCCCATGGTGGGTCAGATATAAGAACGTGGCGTACCGTGCCAATTCAAATAGGGAGAACTCATTCAATACAAACACTGACACCTAATATAACAACAAATGAAGTCTATCGACTTAAAACGTCATGTCCATGTCCCACAGGGGCATCATCTTGAGTCCATACATACTGTACTTAGTACTTACGTATTTAAAGCCTCCACCTCATTTTTGAAGTTTGGAGCACCTGTATTTACTACTTACGTATTTAAAGCTTCCACCTCATTTTTTAAGTTTAGAGCTTGTGTACTGCTTTCGGTTAGAAGACTTAATTGAGAAAAAAAATTTCATTATGAAATTTGGAAAACTATTTAAGAATTATTAGATGATTATTCTCATAACAAATGTGAAATACTTAGATAATATATTTTGAAAATTCGATGGTCTTTACTCAATCTTGAGGCGTCTTTTTTTTTGAGTTATTTATGCATGAATCTTAAATAAGTTAAAACATATGAGTTGCTCCTTTTATTTTCAAAAATTACAATCAAAGTCGGTCAACGTAATTTTTTTTTTTTTAAATTACTTTTTGGTTTGAGGATGTCATCTTCGGACTGCAACTTAAATTTTGAAAAAACAAAAAAAAAAAAAAAAGGAAGCGGTATGAGAATGACATCCTCGAACCACAACTTTAAGTTCTTTTTTTAAAAAAATGCAGTCCATGGATCCTTGGATCGAGGGGGTAATTTTGTCAAAAAAAAAAAAATCGTTAACCGACCTTGATCATTATTTTCGGATATAAAGAGAGCGACTTGTATTTTCTTAACTTATTTAAGGGCCATCTGTAAGTAACTCATTTTTTTTTTTTAAGTGTATCAAGAGTACAATTTTTTTTATTTTTATATTTTTGACAAGATCACAAATACTTTATTACTCCATAACCCAGAGATTACAATGAAAGGATGATAAACACAACAATTAAAAGGATCAGGAATTGGGCACCAAAGACGGACAAACACTCTATCCTTAACAAGCGAGTCTGCCCTCTCATTCACTTCCCTAAAAACATGATTGAAAGCCACAACTTTATTACCACAAATATCCAAAGCTTCCAACCAAAACCTTCTCAAGCTTCAAGGTGGCTTACTAGACCCCAGACATCTAATTGATAATATTAAGAAAAATCCCCTTCCACCAACTATGCAGATTGATCACAACGATCATTCAACAGCTTTAAACCTTGAAGGATAGCTAACATTTCTACTTGGTTTGCTGTAGTTCTCCTTCTACACCCTGATAATCTCTAACCACACCACCAAAACCAACACCAAAAGTGTATCGAGGGTACAATTGAAAAAAACTTTTATTAAGGTTTTGAAGAGATTACATCCTCAAAATTTAGGGTCTTAATTCTCCATGGAGTTTTACTCGATGGAGTAAACAGACATTCTACTTTCGTGGTGGCTAAAGTTTTTCTTGGAAAAATATAATCCTTGGTAAATAAACACCAGTATCGACCTTTATAAATAGCCGATATACGACAATTGCTCTCTCGTCGTGACGTTATATGAAGGCCATGGCCATAGGTGTAAAACATGGTCTGAAAGTGAAAATGAGGGCAGTCATTTCCTTTATAAATTTTAACCACTTTTATAAATGATTTTAAGTTTTATAATAAAATAATGTTGAAAGAATGGAGATCCCGTCTGTTGTAATAGAAATAGCTGAAATAGCAGCTTATGCAGGAAAGAACGCCCTTTCTATAAAAAGAAATAAACCTTGTTTTTTGAAAGGGAAAGTATAGAATAAGACCATTTACTTTTGATACAAGGTGGTCATGTTAATATTGACCATTGGATGTGAAATTAGGTGGCTACAATTATTTCATTGACCAAGCTCAAACTTCAAAAGATAATTTCTCGAATTTTGTGACATATCCAAGCTATCAATTTTCAAATTGAATGGTTGTAAGTAATTGTGACCGCCTTGTATAAAAGGTGAATGATCTCATTGTATACAATCCCTTTTTGAAATATAACCCCAGTTTTTCTCCATTTTGCCTCTACTTTTCCTTTTTACTTGGTATTGTTGGGGGGACACGTTTAGCATGCGGCCAAGCCCGCACATGCCGAGATGGGGGTTCCTTAATAAATTTATTTTTGAAATAGAATTTGATCTTAATTTTTAGAGAATTTATAATCTTTAACACGGGGATCATGAATATGAAAAAATAAATAAATTTTGAAAATTAAAAATAATAATTCTATTAAAAAAATACTTGAGCCGTTAGTTTCAATTGTTTTTAAATAGGCCACGTATTTGCATCCCCCATTAAAATGGATGTTTTATACCTATAGACGGCATATTGTACAAATGCGGTCGAGCCTGCATCAAACAATTGTTCATGTTTGGGTAAGATGCACTTTTTCTTTTAAAACAACCTTTACCATTGTGAACGATTTTTCAGCCTTAACAAGCTATTTCACAATGCTAAATAAACTCACAACCCTAGAAGCTGTAAAATAAATTGTATGTCAGGCCAACGCCTAGATAGAATTCCCTAGGTAAAGGACTCACGACGTTGGATAGGGGCCCCTGGGCTGGACTTATGAATGGCTATGTATAGGACTGTAAGTAGCCGACCCCAAATAACTTTAAAAAAAACAAAAAAACAAAAAGAAAAAAAGCTTTGATGATGATGTGATCCGAAATAGATTTTGGAACTAATTCTACAAAGAGGTTACGATGTAAAAAGTTGAAAGGTGCTAATTTGTCCTATGATTTATCTCACTAACTCATGTGCGATTAATTGAATTCATGCATTTTCCTATTGGCCAAGGCTCTTGACATGCTCCTTCAATTATTCAGACATTATTGGTTAAGTTTCTTGTCATGCTCCTTCAGCTATTAATGCACCAAACACATGGACGATCTTAAGGGTGAATTGACGCTTTTCACTTGTTGATATATGTTTTGCTTGATTAGAGGTGAGATTCCAAGTGGGAATGGGTAGACCTAGACCTAACCGTGTCCAAAATATCTGGAAAAATATGGACCTGGAATTTGTTTGGAGGATCTGTACCCTACAGATTATATATAGAAAAAATAAAAAAATTGGTAAAAACTAACAAATTACCTAAAAATATATACCAGAAACTTACTAAAAATTACTTATTAGCTAACAATTAACAAGAATATGTAAATAGATAATAAGAAGATTTGAGAAAGAATTTATCAATTTTCTCATTTTAAGACTAATAAGAAGATTTGCACAAAAAAATGAAAAACATATATAAAATAATATATATTAATATATATAACCTTCATATATTATATATAGGATAATCTATAATTCACAATCTTTCAAATTACAATGGTTAATGTTAGTGTGAGCTATGATGGGTAGATTTACTAAAAATGAGATGCCTTTTTTTAAAAAATGTATTTTTATGATATCTTGCTCATTAAGAAGGATGTTTGTTTAAATATCACTAAAAAGCAAGATGAACTTTTGTCATATTTATAAGAGGTAAAATTGAAATTCTTATTAAAAGACAGAGGTACTCTCACTTTGCATGTCCCAGATAGCGTCTTTAATCTCCTCCATAGTGACTGGTTCATCCAATTTTACCATCTGATCCAAAAATAATAAACATGGAGGAAGAAACTGATCTGTTTGACTCGTATCAATATCACTTTCATGAGCAAGCAAGTTCTCAAAGAAACTGATCATATGCCTATCAATATCTTCCTCAGAAGCTAGCGAGTCCCCATTATGATCTTTCAATGATATAATCCTATCATTTCGTCTTCGAATCATAGTAGAAGGATGGAAGAACTTGGTATAGGAATCTCCGTCCTTAAGCCAATTCTACCTAGATTTATGTCTCTATAGTCTCTCCTCATGCCCCAAGAGCATTTGAAGCCTCTGAGTATTTTCTTGCTCTTTTAACATCAATGCCTAATTAAAAAAGTCGGAACTTAAGCTATCATGTAAAGAAGATAGTTTAATTCTGACAACTACAATGGATTCATTAACATGACCAAAGAACTCTTTATTCCATATACACAAGTTCACCCTCAATCTTTTTAATTTAGTCATAAATCTGAACATGGCCGTACCCCCAATTCTAACTTGCCATGATGTATAGACCGTGTCCATAAAGCCAAGATGTTTTTCCTACTTTGAAAAATATTTAAATGGTTTTGGACCAACTGGTTCTTCGTAAAAAACTGATACCATTAGCGGACAATGATCAGAATTCCTTTTAGGAAGAAGCTCGACCTTAGATTTCAGAAAAGCCAAGACCCAATCAAGAAGCTCGACCTTAGATTTCAGAAAAGCCAAGACCCAATCAATGGTTGTCATTACGCGATCTAATATGCTCCTTATATACCCCTTGTTGGTCTGGCTATTAGACCAAGAAAACACAATCTGTTATGACTACCCCCAAGTCAGATAAAGCACAATCTGTCATGACTTGGGCAAAGTCAGTCTAATCTAATGGTAACGAGCTACTTCTTCCCATTTTTTTCCGAGCTGCACTGATATAACTGCCCCCATACTTCGCATATGATTCCACAACAAAGCTCTCTGAGATATTGAATTAAATGCATAAACCCTCGAAATTACATCCACACGACCATTACAAATTCTAGTGGCTTCTACTGTTATCATTTGATCATTAACATCCAATACATTAACTTAATATATCAATGGGTTCTATGGCATCATAATTCTGGATCTGTCATTGATTTTATTTGCAATGAAATTACTGTAAAAGCCCAATTTTTTTTAGTACACTCTATTCAACTCTCCAGGCAACATGGTCTCTAAAAGAAATAAA